AGATTTCTCTTTAAAATTAATTAGTAGATATTTTTATTTTTTTAAATATGAAATGATATTGAAATAGTTAATTTAAAATATATAAATAATTGTGCATTTCACAGAAGTTATAAATATTTTTTTAATGTTCTAATTTTTATTTGTCCTTTCTATTTAATCTATAACTAATAAAACAACAAAAAATACTCTTTTATAAAACTTTTTTTTTTATTATCTAGTAACCTATTTATTTATTTATTTGATTATGTGTCAATTATTCATATTAAATCATAAATTACAAATATACAAGTTAAAAATATTAAAAACTTATTCAATAATTTTGTATTTAAATAATTTGAACTTTTGTATCTGTATTCTTCAAATTTAATAAATCGAAAACCAAACTTTAATATAGACTACAAATTTATAACACCCTTAAAACATTGACATTCGAATTTCGAATGTACCTATATAATAGAAAAACTAATCGAAAACTACTTGCTATTACTAGGAGGTACTTGAATAAAAGCAATTTTTGATTTCAATGGTCTCCTTCAATTTGAATTAGTTTTCCTATTTACGACCTAAAACCACTAGGGATAACGACAGATAGAAAATTCTCAAAACATTTTTTTTACCTCTTACATTATTTTTAAACGTTACCAATATATTTTTTATATATAAAAAAAAAAGTGACTGGTCAGGTGAATAAAAACTCTAGAGACTTTTCAGCGGTCTCTGTATATAATTGAAAATGTCACCCACGAAACACCGTTATCATTTGTCGCATACATTTGTTCACACACACTAGGGAATTTCAAAGAAGCATGTCTTATACATGGCGAAACAGTAACATTTGTGGTCATGTTTAAATTATAATACGACGAGATAATTAAAGTAATAATTTTAACTGAGGTTATAAGGTCTTGTAATGAGATTGCAGTATTACAGGATTCTTTTTATAGTTATTTTTAAATAATCTAAAGTCAAGTTATAATCAATATATTACATTTAAAATCATGAAAATCTTTTAAAAATTTTATTTTACTATTTTTTTTAGATGGTCATTAAATTGTAATAGTTTTTTTATTCAGCTACGTCTAATAAACATTTAAATATTTTTAATTTCAACTATCTTTCTGACTATAATAATATTTATACAAATAATTTATGAATATATTTGGGTAATTACTAATAAACTGTAAATTTTACTGTTTGTTTATTAGTTGAAAACTAATACAATCGAAACTTTTAAGAAATTAGAAAATATTTTCTCTTCAAAGGATTTACTCATATAGTAAAATTGTCAATTGTTAGTTAGAGTGCTACTTGAAACTTTTAAAGCATGAATAAATGATTACAGACAAATCTAACTACTTGAAAAACAAAAAAACTCACATTTTTTGTACCTTATTTTACCCAATATCTAAAAAAACAACGACACAACTTAGTGTAACAAATACATTTCTCACACTTCACCGACTATCTAAAATATCGACCGCTTAAATTTCACAAACGATCATTTAATTATTTTGAAATGATGTGATGGGGTATTTTCTTTTGCCCGTACTCTATACGCAAATAATTTTGGATCGTAGAAAATTTTATGCAAATCTAATTTAACGTTGTAGCAAAGTAGCAAAGTAATGAACGATACTACATGCATGGTAGTGCGTCATCCATGTACTATATGTTTATACATTATTATATAGGGTTACTAAAATATATGTAACATTCTCTCAGCGGATCTTTTAAACAAAATCCTACCAACGGTGCATAAATATGTGCCATGGATAACAGTATCGCGACACCGATGAATAGGGGAACGGGCTATCGACCCCTAAGGCCTATCGAGGGTGTTTTTTTTTCTAACACGTTTTGCTTTTTACGTCTCGTTCATCATGCCCTCGGGTGTGTGTGTAGCAATTTTGGAGGGTATTGGATCTATTACTGCATAAGGAACAATATACAGTGACAATGCACGAAGGATATCACATGTCCAATTTCTGTGTGTGGAAAGTAAAAAAAAGAGTTGGCACGTATGTAACAGTAGGAAAATAGTGACTAAGAAATGGTTTTTCGTTTGTGCTGATCATGCATTGCATCCGTAAAGTCTTATTCACTATCTAATATATCTACATATATTTTTAAAAATTTTACAACGTTTTTAAAAATTTATACGTATTTCTTTAGCAGTGATGATCAACACGATCACCTTGATCGAGACAACGATAGCCAATAGAATATAATTTTATTTTGTAAATGAGTACATTAGAGAATACATAGGATATTTTTTCAGATTATAACTGCAAAAGAAATTGCGAAATGATAATAAAACGGATATTTATTTAGTAATGGAAAATGTGCTCACGGAAAAGCACAAAAATAGACGTACAAATAGTTTTGAATTAAAAATAAGCTAGATAATAGAATATTTAGGATAAGTAGGACTTAAATATTTACACGAAAAATGTGTTTATGGCATTTTTATTTTACTTTTCGCTGCTATTTTCAATATTAAACAAAACGTCTGAGACGAAAACAAGTCTTCTTTAAACAAACAATTAATTAGTTTTATTAATTAAAATAATTTCTGCGAATGGTTTAAAAGTTGTATTAGATTTGTTTGTTTATTATTTTTATTTTTAACTAAAACGAACAATTTTTCTTTCAGTTTCGGGTATACTAAAAATAAGAAGAAAATGAATCTATATATCATGTTTCTTTCTAACAACAATAATAAGGAGAGAAAAAAGTCAATAACTGAGATACCATCTAGGAAAACCATATTATATAACACGAAAATGATATATTTATTAACCATTATATTGTTATTTTATACACACAATCACACAATATTATTATTAATCTCATACTACTAAAGAATATCATATAAAACGTAAAATTTCTAAAATTTCTATATTACCGATAAAATTAAAATATATTTAATTTTCATATATTTTTATATATATATATATATAAATGTATTTTCAACTAAATTAAATCATAATAATTATATATGCATGATAATTTATCATACAACTACTCATTTGTTAAGCAAACTTGTATAATTAAATAAATTAAGAAATAATATATAATGTTATGTATACAAGTTTTTAATATTAAATAACATGTAAATGACGTTAACACTGAAGTTTATTTTAAGTGATAATTTTTTGAGTAAGTTATGTATTATTTTTCTTTCATGTTACCCTATTATAACATAATATTCTTCAAGAGGATCTTTACCGAGTCATTCATGCTTAAGTGAATATTTAAAAACAGAAAAAAAATATGTGACTTTGGCAAATCAATTTTAAATCTATGAAAACTAAATTGTTATTTATCGATTTTATTTTTTATTTTTTAAGAAATATATCATGGAAATTTTGACGTAAATTGAAGGCTATATTTAACAAATAATTCATACCTAAAAATTATTTTAAAACAATTCTATAATATTTTATTATATTCTTATTTATGCATGAAACCAACGCTTTAATCAATAATTTAGGGAAAAACAAATAATATTATTTTTTTTAGATTTGAAAACTGTTTTACCATGATGTATTTTTGACAGTTTAACTAAAAAATCGTCGGATTCACACACTACATTTACCTAAAGCCACATAAAATATATATGTTTATATTTATAAGTTTTAACTATCAAAATGACAAGGGTCGAAAACCCTGAGATATTCATTTATTTTTTAAATATATACCGTTAAAACATTTTCGTGATCAAGTAGGATTATGTAAAAAGTAAAACGCAAAACCATATTTTCATAAAATTCCACAAACCTTGGTCCTGTGTATATTTAAACTAAATATTTTTTTTATATATTTTTTCAATCATTAGTTATGAATTCAATGAAGATAAATTAAATAATACATACTTCAAACAAGTCAAATACATAACATAGATATATTTATCAGTAAATAATATAGAGCTTTAGTAGATATTTTATATTATGAGTGAATTTAACAGAACTATAAGTTAATATTTTTGGGGATGAGAAAAAGCTCAAAAAGTTTTTCTTCATAGAAAAACTGAATACATAGATAGTTTTTAATATAATGTTCTCACAATAAAAAAACCTTTTAATCTATAGCAAACCAATTTTTCAGTAAGTCGTTATTCACTCATAAGTGTAATTTATATGCAACAAATATTATTAACAGTTGAAAAAATTTTTGAAATAGGCATCTATTATCACAATGCTACAGTTATCTAAAACTCAGTAAAACCAAATCATTACAGATTCTTTAAGACTTCGAATAGAACAAAATAATTGAGCTAATGTGTCCATAACAATGTGATTTATATTCTAATAAATGTATCCTTTTTATGGTTATGATAAAACTTGAAAGTAATTTTGAACGATGAATGGTAAAAACCAGCTTTCATACGATGACGAACAAACATACAACATAAAAGTTTTGGTAAAATATTTACAGTAATTATTCAAAAACAAAAAATCAGAGAAAATTAACTGTTCGAATCGTTATTTGCATTAGTTGAACCTATATTTTATCCCACTAACCTATCATATATTTTTGTGTGATACCTGTTATTTTTTTTTTGATTGAAATGGTACATAGCCACAAAAAATGTGTTATTGTTATTATTTATTCTATCATGTTGTTTACGAAATAATATATAATAATCATATTAATAACAAAGTGTATCTATTTTATTGAGTTCATGAGTACGATGTATTAAATGTTTTTAGTTATGCAGTTCTGTGGTTAAATATGTATATATCATTATAATAACATCGCGTAATCTATTCATGAAACTTAAAGCTTATCATAATTCCTCGATGATGAAAAAATAATTTCGAAATTCGATCTATGATAATAATATTATCATTACACGCGTAAATAGCTTATTTTTACGGTCAGTTCAGCAGCAAACGTCACAAGTACAACGACAACACGTGCACGCGACCGTAGGGCATAATGCAATAAATGATAATTTATTCACTTATTCTACAAACTATGAAAAACATTTGACTTACTTTGTTCGGATATCCGTTGAACCGCATGATTTTCCTGCAAGACTTGCCACGATTTTGCCGGTAGAACGCCTGCACCGAACCGCCCGGGCTGTCGCCCAGATGCTGTTCTGGCGACGACGCTTTCGCCTTTGACGGTTTATTTTTGCGTCTCGCGCCCGGAAAACACCCGAAAACGGTGGTTCCGCAACATTCGTCAGCGTCCTTCATGTCCAGACGTAGTATAAGCGGCCGCGCCGCGGTCTCGCCTGTATGAGAATACTCCAAAATTTAATTTTTGAAAAACAACAATATTCGAAAAATGAATCGAAAACCGGGAACAACAGTGTGGTTGCCGTCTATCGCCCCGCTGCCTCAAGTGACTACGGTCAATTACGATGACAACGAAAATACGAGTGAAGTCCAGTGCAACGGGAACATTACAATATTTAACGTTGTATTAAAACAATTATTCAATGTTACAATACGTCGTCGCGTTATTCAGCGGCGCTCACGCTAATGCGCGGCGTACCCTACGACGGAGGAGCTGGCCGGGGCACGATCGTTGGCCACCGTGGTAGCTAGTATTGTGCCGACTACGACTGTCGAGAAACGCGATTTTCCGACGACGCCGCCGGACTCTCGGCGGGATGATGAGCTTTTCCGCGGTCGGGCCGTCGCGCGTACTGCTTGGTACGGAGCAGAGAGCACACGGTCGGCGGCGCATCGCACCGACGCGTTGCCAAGGGCGACCCGCGCACGCCGCGGACGAAACCCTCACACCCGCCCGCCGGCCCGTCGACAACCCGCTGATGCTGCACCCACATGCACGACCCATCCGTTGCAAAGCGTGGGGTGGCGGGTTGGCATAGAACGTTATACGTTCGGCGGCACGGTCGACGGCGAGGAGCGGCGCTGCGTCGGCGGAGGAGAAACTCGAATTAAGCCGTTTCAGTTCGCCACGGCGGCACCATCGTTAACGCGCCTCGGCGGATCACGGCACGAGAGCGACTTGTGCCGTTTATACGATTTACATATCGTAAGTAGGCACCTATACGAATGACACGATAATTATTGTTTAGTTGTTGTTGGCACTACGACGATTCTATTTTTTGGATGTATGCGCTTTTCGCGGTGTCTATTACAATCGCCTGCAAAAGCGTGTGCGCCTCTTATGTATTATATAAATTATATTTAATATTTTTAAAAGTATAATATAATTACTCAAGCCACTACATCTATTTCGAATCATCCGCTGAGCCTGTGACCCTCTTACGTTATCTGTTCTTTTTAAGTAGACTATAATATTATGCCTAATGGTTATATACATATTACACGTCATGCTTTAACTGTCATGCTAAATCACCAAGTTATTAAACATCTGACCGTGCCGATGTAGGATATCGGGGAAAGTAAAATAAAATAAAGGTATTTTCCATTTTAAAATCGCCGTAAACATCGCAAACATGAATATTTGTATATACATTATACACCTATTCTGTTAGTAACCGTTATCTGCTGTAATGTTTATTGCGCTGTGTACATGTTATGCTGTGCCTAAACAACTTATACGTGTCATGAATTGTGTTTGGACATTCCCTTCTATACCCTACCCGCAAGTTTCAATGACGTGTTTCACCGCACTGAAAGCCTGGTGAAGAATTTTCCCTCTGTTTTCTCGTTACCTTATTCAAAAATACTTCACAGTTGAAGAAAATGATGTTATGTTTTTGGAAGTCAATTAAATTATATGTTTTTTGGTAGTCAATTTAACGGTCCATTGGGAATTCACCTTACGATGCCGTGAGCCAATTCAACTGTCGCCGTGATGGCACTGGCGGGGTAGAGTACTAGGTGCAGCTTTCTGGTAGGCCAACGATGTCAGAAAATAATACATATATATGTTTTTATAACACATAAAAGAGGTATAGAAAACAAATAGAAAAATATAAGTCTCCTATTTCGATCCTTATTAGGTATATTTACGTTAATAAAAATAAAAATTGATTCAATCCTTAAAAAAAGTATTTGTTTAACTGTACCTTTTCAATATTCCCAGATATTTATAAATTTAAATAAAAATGCTTTTAACAAATAACCCGTTTGAATCTCCTATCCTATTATTGTCCCAATTTAAGAAGGAATGTATAAAAATGTAAAGCACAAATTTTAAAGACAATTTAAGTAAATAGGACTCACAGAATACCAAATATACCTATTACCTAGATAAATATCATGCAATTTATGCTATAGTAAAAAGCATTAATGTTTAAATGCTTACAATTTATGTATTTTAAATAAAAATAGACGCCTACAATCTACATGTATATAGTTATTTAATATGAAATAATACATTTAAAGATTTTTATTGTGTGTATGAACCTTTTCACTAATCAATGATTATCCTCTTTTAGACTACTTTTAAATTATACTTTATATACCAAGTTATATTAAGTATAATTTTTCCATTAAAGAAATTACTATTTTGCATTACACATAATACCTATTATACTATTATCATTCTTATAAATCGTAATTTTTAAATTAATTGTTAATTTTCTAATTTTTATTTTATCCAAATACTTCTTATACAATCAATTACTAATTAAGTACTATCAAGTTATTGTGCATAAGTAATTAGTCCTTAAAACCGTCTAATTAAAATAAATAATCTCGTTGTTTTAAAAAAAATCATTAAAATTACCCACATTAGACCTCTTAAATAAAAGGTGCGTTGTGTCCTCTTAAGGATTAGTAGGTAGTGAATTTTTAGAGATAATATGTTTAAAATATATTTTTATAGACTTCTATGGTGTATTTAGGATTTTGTCTTGGGAGACAGGGGATATGTATTCAGAGCTCTCTTATTAATTATTTAGTTATAATATTAATTATTTATTGTAATTAATATATAATCCATTTTTCTATATTTTAGACTTTACTCGTCAATGACTTTGGATTTTGATATTTTGGTGACATACCAATAATAAAACTAGTTGGTGAATTCTTGCCCGAGTGTGTATGATCGTTTTCCTAATTAAATTATAATTATACTATTATGGTATCTATCTATAATGATTATACACATATTTAGAATATCCCACTTTTATTATATCAGAATTAACATTGGTCATTTAAGTATTAATCAATATTTAATATTATTATTTGATTTCCGTCAAAAAAATATCACCAACTACTACAAACTCGTGATTTAACTACATTATAAAAAGGTTTATCTATGAATAATGAACACATAAGAATATAAAATATTTTTAAAAAAAGATACAAAAACGAAATTTATTCAACAGTAGATCCAAGTTTACGTTTTATACACTATAAATTTAGCTAATTTTTATTAATGTATGATACAAGTATATTATACATTTTATTAGGTACCTAGTTAGTATATATATTTATATAATATAATATAATATTAAATATGTATTTCTTCATTAGTTATATACCTGGTTTAAAACATTTATTATATTAAATTATTACATTTTCAATTGGTTTTATTCGAATTGGTTTATTTGTCTGTCTCTACAAAAACGTCATGAATGTAAACTTTATTTTCAGAAAATGAGAATAATATACTACGTGAAATAAAAGTAGTCTCATTTAGCTCCATTTTTTTTTTTATACATTTATAAGTATAAAAATATTTTACGGCTTTTTGTTCTTTTTAAAACAACAAATATTTAATAAAATATTTTCATATTTTTTTTTAATCCTGAATAAATAAGCTTATTTATTTTAAACGAAATAAATTGAAAAACAAATAAATTCAGAATTTAATATTAAAATAGTTATTTAATTTAATGATACACTACATTTTAAAGAAAAAGCGCACTATATTATTACATTACAACAATAGATGATTTACTAATTATTATGTTATGCGTGATCTATTGAAAAAATATGGAATATAATTTGTTTTTATTTACTAAATATTCCTTTAGTACCTATAATAAAAATAATTATTAATTAAAAAAATAAACTAATATAAGCCAGAATAATTTATTTAATCATAATTCTTAATTAATAACAAATTTAAATTTAAAAAAACATAAATAAAAAATACACTGTTTTATGTCAAACGTGCATTTATTATAAGACCATTGATTATTTATTAATAATTTATTATTACTTAAGCATTATTTTAAAATATTTTTACTAATGCAATGTTTAACCTTTATAAATCTGTTGTTTAATTAAAAATTATATGCAAGTTATTATAGAAATTAGATAAAATATTATTGACTGTTTATTATAATTTAAAGACATATTTAATTCTAATATAATAAATTGTATTTGCAGGTTTGTTAATACAGTTGATTTATTTTTTGTATTTTAAAATTTTATGTTAAAAATGTAAAACTCTTGTACTACATACATCGTAGATACTAAATCTTTTGACCAGTCATCTTAAATCGTTGTACATTTTTTAATAAAAATAAATAATATCATCTAATGATTTGTATAGTTAATTTAATAACTATATAATAAACTTGGTAGTCGTGAGTTGGATAAATTATTTATTATTATTTCTATTTTCAGTATTCCTATGTTGTGTATAGAACATATTCTATTATTTAGTAGATAGTTAGTTTAATCTTATTTCCTATTAAAATATAATATATTATAAATTATAATTTATAGTACAATGACAAATAAATTGTAACATCTGTGCCAAATTATTCTACAGAGTTTTTAATGTTTTTACAAATTAAAATAATGAACTAAACATTATTTAAAACTCTTACTACGCAACGAAGAACATTTAACATACTTTATACTTTAAAAGCTATTTGAACAAGTGTTAGAAATATGATCTTGTACTTTTTATTATGTAAAATAATAAATGTTGATAGAAGCAAGTAATATTCATTTTTCTTTTTAAACTTCTAATAATTAATCAAATTCACATTTTACGTATTTATATGTATATATTATTATTATTTAAAAATTAATATTATTTTATAGTAATAAAAGCATTTAACTTATTGCTAATATCACTTCACTCACATAATGAACAATTTTCAAACTTTTTAGTAATCGCATATTATTATTGCATGCCAATTTTTGAGTTAACAATTTTATTTTAATGCCAATAACCTTGAAAATACCATATCATAAATACATTTTACAAACTTAAACATATATACCTACATATGTATACCAAATTAAACATTATTAACAAATTATAATTATTTTCAGTCTATGAAAATAATAGATTAAAAAATCACATTAAATATATTTTGTTTTCCTATAGGTATAAGTACATTTTACTCGTTAAAAAAACAGTCCCGCATATTAAACATTTATGTTAGAGTATTAAATACCAAATTTTGAATTATTTTTTATAATTAAACTTTTGCACGGTGAATAGCTAAGACATGACGATGGTGATAAGAACGGTATAACGGTACGTGCAAGAAAGACCTTTAGCGTTCATTAACTAACAACGTGACGAAACAATGTAAAAGTACTTAACACACTTAAGCATCGAGTATTCGAGTCATCTACGCCAGTAAATAACTTAACGGCTTAAATATTACAGGCACATAATCATTATATTATTTAAAGCTTAATGATTCCTGAAACAGATTTCCTAACAAGTAATTATTTTATTTAATCGTTTATAAAAAATAAACATATACTATTATTTGAAATCTTCACTTAAAACCAGCCATATATTAT